CCAAGTAGTGTCTTAATATATATATATATAGCGGTTTTGGTTAGTGCTCAAGTAGAAGGAAATTATTAAAAATAATATGTTTGTAAGTTCCTTCCTTCATTTATATTAGTATGAGTGAATTAATGACAGTTAAATAACGTTGTTAACAGTGGCGTAACTTCAATAAAAAAATTTGGAGATATCAAATTAATTTTTTATAAATAAATTAATTTTTTTATTAATTATAAATAATAAAATTCCTCATTTTTTTACTCAAAATAAACATGTATAATAATAAAATTCAAGAAAAGTATTATCATTCACTAATCATTTCATAAAATAATCATAAAGGGGAAATGAGCTTTTATTTAATCCACCAAAAAGTCCAATACAAATTCAAATTTGTAACGTAACCCAAAAGTCTTTTTTCTCTATTTTTCGTCACTGCCTATATGATTTCATTTGCACATCATAAGGAATGATAAACACAAAGACCATAGTTAAATGAGAAAAAGGGGAAACAAAACACAAAGTGGCGGAGAAACAATAAGAGAAGAAAAATAATAAGTGAAAAATGATATAGGAAAAATACCAGTGTGAAGGGTGAAGGCATCGGAGAGAAGAGAAGTCCTAGTTGGCTAGTTCATAATGTTAGGAGGGGAGAGGAACTAGAAAGTCATGAATGTGAGTGAGTGATTAAAAGAGAATTCTTGATTCAAGAAAAAGGCTTTCTAGCTTTCACTTTCAGCTTTGGAGACTTCTTTGAGAAGTTAACCGGAAAAGAGATAATAAATTCAAACTTTTAATTTTATTATAATTAATAATATAATAATATATAAATATAATATTAAATATATATTAAATTTTAAAAAAGTTTGGGGGAGCCGTGGCTCCCCCTTAAAAGACCCGCCCCTGGTTGTTAAGAGAGTAAATGTGACATGTTAAGTGTTAGAAAATCAATGGTCGTGATTAGATATCAAAAAACTTCTTTTTTAATTTCCTGAGATCTTGAATCTTTCTTTTGAATTTTGTTTTTCAATTTTATTTTCACAATTACGAATTCATCAAACAGCCTCAAAAATACAATCTTGATTAATTTTTACGTATATGACAATTATAATATGAAGATCAACGCAAAATACACAATTATAAAGAAGAGAGAAGAAAAACACAAAATTATATTGTTTCACTCTCACCATTTGAAAGTTAGATCCGGTCTTTAATCAATATCACTAAAATTTTCACTAAAAGTAACAATTATTTTTCAATACCTTTATCAAATGAAGAAAGCGTTCCAATATTCCTCGGGAAAAACCTTTCTTATCCACCACTAGCAAATCCCGCTATTACCAATAAGAAACTTATCTCATTTAAAAACCACCTAATCCCTAAGTGAACAAGGAAAGTATCACGTGAGTAGTGTTGATAATATTATACAAGAGCACAAATCAAACCACTTGACTTTTGAAGAAAAACTTGAGATATTACATGAGCCAATATGATTTTCAAGTAATGCTGTTAAACACTCATAATAACTCTTTATCTTTTAAAAAAAATTGTTAGATTTGGACTTTTAATAAAAAAAAAATTATTTAAAAAATTATATTTAAACTCATAAAAAGAAATCTGTTAAATTTTATAGATCAACTTATTTATCTATATAATATAATAAAAATTTCAATACACATGTTACACTATTAATAATATGATTAATTAAATAACTTTATAATATAATAATATTAATAATTTAATATATATA